CCTTCTCTTCCTCTTCTTGCCCTTCTGCTTCTGATAGTTCAACTTCTTCTTCTCTGGGAGGCTCAACGATGAAGCTTGGAGCCATGAGTTGTAGTGAGACGATGCAGGGAGGTTTGTGTTGGCTGCTTTGAAAATTTGTTCAGTTGGGAACTAGCGAAACATCTTAAAAGTCCTTGTGTTATTTACGATAGCATTTGCTTGCTAGTGGGATACAAGAGATGGAGATACTGAGAACAAAGAGAACACTCTTTTTTTTTTTTAATAATAAATAAATTCACTTTAAAATTATCTTAAAAATAAATTTATTTTAAAAAATATCTTATTACCTATAAGATTTTAAATGTGATTGGCATATTATTCATGCTACACTTGCTTGCAATTCAAATAAATAAATCGACTTGAAAATATCTGATCACTTATAAGATTTTAAATTTATTTTATATTGTATATATTTATATAGAAAAATGTATTTGAAATTCAAAGAAATAATTTTATATGTGATATTCATGAATCAAATCATATAATTTTTATTTGTAATTTTATAATGCATCTATGTAATTTAGAGAATGATTAATTTTACACAAAAACATCTAATGATATTTCCATAGCTGTAATGAGTTTGATTTTTGATTTTTTTAAGGGTAAAATGAAAATGTTTGGTGAATTTTTTAGAAAAATAATGATAAGGCCTATCAGTTTGAGAGACTGCATTGCGTTCATGTTTATTTAAATTTTATTTAATACTGCAATCCTAAAACCAAAATTGAGATGCGAAAGAAAATCCAAAACAGCATTTATTAAATGTCGCCGGGTGCTAATTTTTTTTAAAAAAACCAAAATTGAGATGCCAAAGAAAATCCAGCAAAGCTCTGTTCTTGGACACTCACTCCAAACCTGCCCACTGTTTGACAGCTGGACAATTCCCTTGGTTTTGCCGTTGTGTAGTAGCAGCCTCCATTTCATTTCAGCCGTAGATCCAATTTTGGACTGAAATTCGAAGCAGTCAAAGTTCAAACGTTTTATCACTTCCCTTTCCCCTGTTTTTGCAGCGTTCAATCAACCTCCATCTCAGGCTTTCCAGCTATATGCAACAGCTAAAAGATAGCTGACGTAGCAAAGCTAGAAACAGTTACAAGAAAAGAAAAGTACGAGACATTTTTATTTATTCACAAAAATAAAAATAGCTCATCACTTGTTTAAATTATCCATGCACATTCTTGTATTTCCCTTCCCCCTCAGGCAAACAAACAAACACCTTGTGGCTCACGCCTTTTCACGGAAAAAGCTCCACAATCCCCAACTAAACACGCCAAAAACCAAGAAAAAAAGTCTCTATCGAACATTTTTCAAACCCCTCTCTTTATTCTCCTCCTCCTTATTTGTCTTTTACTGTTTTTGCCCTTTTACAGAAAAGCCCGTATTGCTTGACATAGCTAGCGCTGAGGGAGTCTAAACCGAACCTGAGAAGCGGGCGACCGGACAGCGACACCGTGCCAGCAAATACCACCTTTGCACATCTCATGAACATTATTGACACGATCCTGTGAAATCGCATACATGGCTTTACGAGAAATATCCCACGTCAGCGTCCCAATCAAGATTAAACCCACAACAGCAGTAGACACAATCAGCACGAATACACCACTGAAGCTCCTTCCACAAACCAGCCCGTAAGCCTTAATTCCCGCTATCACCGCCACGTAGATCGTCGTAAGATTCCCTATCACCGCATCAGACAGCGCCATAAAAAGACTCTGCACAATTGCTCGTAAGTCTATCAGGGAAAGGAGGTTGTATAGACAAGGTGGAAACCGCAAATGGAAACGGAGGTGGGTTTTTAACTTTGGGAATGTCGGTCGAGGGGTAGATGATACCACGGAAAAGAGAGGGACTGAGGAAGGAATGTACTGGTTTATGTTGAGCTTATCTTCTGGCTCTTGGAAGGGAAAGTGGGAGGTATCAGATTTTTGTCATGCATCCGCCGATTCGAAAGTAACCAAAGAGATAGTACCACGTGCATTTGCTTGCTTCGAGATAGAGAAACCTTTGCGACTATTTTATTTTAGTGTTTTTAATAGTAATAGCAGTAGGTTCAAGGCTTTGATTATTCTTTTTGATAACGACGTCGTGGTAGATGACGGTATTGCCATGACAGGGACGTTCTGTCTAACTTGTAAGGGACCGAGTAAATACGGCCGATGGCCAATTCGAAGGAGTTATGTTGTTATTTGGTAAACCAATCTGCTTATACCCCAAAATATATTTTTTAATAAAAAAACTCAAATAACATTGTTTTGGATAAAAAATTTTAAAAATAAAATTGATTCAACGGTGATAAATTAATATGCAAGGTTAATTTAAATTTAATTTGATTAAATTTTAAATATAAGTAAAAAAAACAACCATTCAAATTAAGCTTGAGTCATGAATCACCAAGTCAACCCATAAAAATAGGTGTAGCTTAAAATTATAGATGAAATGGTAATTGGCTTTTAATATTTTAATTGCAATCGTATGTGTTGGACCTTATGCTCGTAGCTCGATTGATCAAAGATTATTAAGAGGGAAAGAAAAATCATTCAATGTACTTTGGCCCAATACGCTACCGTATTGTTGCCGAAAATAGTACATTATCTGCAAGAGTCTTAGCTCCGCCGGTAGCCACACCCTCTCTCTAAACTGCCAAAGATTGATGTGATTAGCATCGATGATGCAAGAAAACCAAAAAGAAAAGAGTTTTTTTTTCTAAAAAAAAATAAAACTTGTGTTTCCTGCCAAAGTTTCACTGGTGAAGCCCCCGGTCCAATCAGCATACTCTTCAAATATATATTTTTTTCGAGTTTCCTTGAGCCACTCATAACCGAGAGTCGCCGTGCCTAACCAGACCACAAGTCTCAACCAATAATACAATCTCTTCTTGTAAAGGTAGCTGCTGGTCACCCATGAGTGTGAGGTGATGGGAGCCAGCTATAATTTTGCCATCGACACTGTTAGAGAATAGTTTCTAGCAATAAAAAAATAGCTGGAGGCCATGAAAACCAACCCAAACCAATAGTTCTTTTTTAGTGACCAGGCGAGCCCATCACCGAGACCAATGAAAACCTTACTTCATATGTGAAGTTTCTTTACGACCTTGTCAAGCATTACTGGGCGGTCTGAGCGAGTGTGCCGTCTAGAGGACGTGTAAACTGTACGGATGGCAATCTCGTAAAACTTGTGTGATTGGATTGGTGATTAAAGAGGGCATCCCCAATATTCTTCTGGTATATAATTAGAGACGTGTTTGATGGTTTTACATGCATTCAAAATTGGCAAAAACCTAACCACCAATTATTGCTGTCTTTGTTTCCACCTAATTCTAATAACTGAATCCAATATAAATGCTGAAATTGTACTGCCTTGTTAACATTACAGTTGTAAAATTCAGTCAACGGTTGTTTGAAATAGTAGTGAAATGTAATTTTTAAAATATTTTTTTTAAAAAAATATATTAATTTTTTTTAAAATCTTTTTTATATAGAATATTAAAATCATCATAAAACACTAAAAAAATCAATTTAATATATTTTTAAATAAAAAAATATTTTTAAAAAATATTCAAAAACAAAGATGAAAGCTATGTCAATCAACTTGTAAGACTTACTTGTTATCAGGGTTAATTCAACTTGATTATAATATTTTTTAAGATTAACAAGTTGAAGGTGAAGTCTTGTTAGGGTAAACGACTGAATCATTTTTTTTTAATTTTTTTAATATAGACTACACTAAACTTTAACCTATTCAATATGAGTTATAATTACAATTATCATGAAAGAAACGGAGACTCTTTTTTGTTTACTCTGCTTTCCTTCTGGAGCTCTTTTCCATTTTGAATTGATGCGCAGATAATTGTTTCTTTGAAAACAATATGTACATCTTGTAAAGGAAAGGGCCGGGCCTAGATAACTTGGACCCTGGTCATTCTTGGTTCTGCAGTGCTTAACTTTCGGATCATCGGGATTCTCATTGAAAGCTTGTCACGTGATGCCGGGCTCGTTTATGCCTCGGCGTCATTAGCTCCGTGGGCCTCTCTGGGAAAATAATTGGATGATAGGTTATGTTTGGAAGTGTGTTTTTAATTGTTTTTTAAAGTAATTTTTATATTGAAAAATATTAAATTAATATTTTTTATTTTTAAAATTATCATATCAAAAATATTTAAAACATATATAAAAATTAATTTTTAATAAAAAAATTTAATTTTTTTTTAAAATGCTAATATAACCAGTTTTCAAACGCTCAACACTATTGTTATTTCCTTCCTTGGTCGTCAAGAAAGTTATCCGCGATTGAACTGTCATTATCCTGCCAACCAAACATGTTGACAGAGCAAACTAGACTCTCGTGCTCCACCCTCCACGTCGAGTCAAGAATAATACCCAATAACATTCTCCCACGTTCAAACATCCTATTGACGCATCACACCCCGTCCAATCACCCACCATTGCAAGTCTGAGCCAATCCGAGCAGTCAACTACACTCCCTTCTCAATTCATCAAGTGGGCCCGACCTGGCAGTTTCTTCCACCCACGTCAACTTACGACTCAATCACCAATAAATCAAAGCCACGTGTATATACAGATATTTCAAACCTTCCATCATCCATGCTGGCATCACAACCCAAATAGATTTAGCTTGTGGAAGTCGCGTCCTGCATGATATAAAATCACACTGAAATAAATCAACTCACATTACTCTTGACAGTCGTTAGCTACCGAAAATATTTGGGGAAAAAAAAAAATTCAAAATGAGGAAGTGGACTCTACTGTCCTTTCCACTTCTACTATGCCTCCTCTCTCCCTCTTCTGATGACGGTATCAGAGTGTGTACATGATAATGCGTAAATTCAATTAAAATAGGAAAGGGTCCAGTTGAAAAAAATATTAAAAAAATATTTTTTATTTTTTTAATATTAATGTATTAAAAAAAATAAAAATATCAATTTAACAATTTAAAAAGCTGATCAAACCATAAAAACAAACACTCCCCATTTTTTCACCATTTTCAAACCTCTCCAGATCGATTCAATCCCAGACACTCAATTCATGTTATGATCTGCGGTTCCACAGGTAAGAAATTACTCGCTAAAGCAGAGGATGCTTCTGATTTCCTCGTTGACCCTCCCAATGTAGAGGAGAAACTCGGCGCCCTATCCTTCTCTTTTTTCTTGCCTTCCTTTCTTTATTAAATAACGTATTTGCCACCGAACCGGTTCAGGGAATCGGCGTCTCGGCATATGGATATCATTATCAACTCTCTTTACAGCAACAAAGTATTTTCCTCAGAGAGTTGATTTCCAATGCATCTGATGTGAGCATTCATTAATTTTTTTCGAAGAATTGGATTTAAATTTAGAAAATTGTGTGAATTTCAGGCGCTTGATAAAATAAGGTTTCTGTCGCTAACGGACGAAGAGGTTTTGGGTGAAGGAGACAATGCCAAGCTAGAAATTCAGGTTAGTGATTAATTAATTTTGTAGAATTGTTGAAATTGTGATTAATTTGAAGTTTTACCACAGCCCCAAGTCAGGAACTTCAGGTATATACGTTGAACAGAAGGCGGAAATGTAAGTTTTGGGTGTTTGGGGGTTAAATATGTAAATTGCCGTGTTAACATTTGTGGAGAAAATGCAGTCAAGTGAGGGCCTTAATTTGATTGGACAGTTTGGGGTAGGGTTCTATTCTGTATATCTTGCTGCCGACGATGTCGAAGTCCCTGGCAAGCATAATGATGACTAGCAGTAAGTGTTCTTGTATGTTGGGGCCGGTAAGATTGGATACATGTTGTTTGTGGATTCCAGGTATGTGTGGGAATCGAAGCCTGATGGAGCGTTAGCGATATCTGAGGATACCTGGAATGAACCTCTGGGACGTGGAACTGAGATAAGATTGCATATCAGAGACGAAGCTGGAGAGTACTTGGAGGAGAAGAATCTGAAAGTGAGTGTCTTTAATATGCTGGATAGATAATGTTTCAGTTAACCATTTTGTGCTATTTGCCGCGTTTGTTTCTGGTGTCTGGAGGATAAGCAAACCTTCCAGAATTTCAAAGCTGTAATGGTAGTGGTAGTTAATGATATGAAAATAAGTCGTTGAACTTTGTCTGATTATTGATTGCAACAAGGAACTGATTACCAAATTCACTAGAATATTTAGCTTCATGTTTAAGAGGTTTGAATCCTTATGGATTGATTTGGGAAAACTGGGCAGTGCATTTTCAATTAACCAGTAACATTTCCAGTATTTTCCCCTGTATTCAAGGAATCGGCTAAAGTCCGTCATCATCTTCACACTCACCTTCATCTCTAGTTTGCCAATGGAAGAGTCATAATTTATTTTTGGGTCTTCACATGAAAAAATAGGAAGAGTCATAATTTATTTTTGGATATCCACATAAAAAAATATAAAAAATATATGTTTAAAAATATAAAATAATAAAAATAGTGAGAAAAGAATGTCAGAACATCCTAAAAATTATCAAAAATTGGTTGAAAAGGTTAAAAAATACAAAGATTAAAATTTGATAATATTTTATTGACTAATGAGAACCGTATTGACAAAAATAATTCAATTTAAGGAAGAAAAGTCTAAAATAAGATGTTTACGGATTCAATTAAATTTTATTGAAAGTTTAATTGAATTTATGGAGGGTTTGATTGCAAGAAAAATTGATTTTTGTAGTTAATTTGAATGTTAATTGGAAGAAATTAAAGTTCTAAGATCAAATTATAATTTTTTAGAGTTAATTTGATCAAATCAGGGGCTTAATTGCATAAATATTAAAGTTTAATGGTCAATTAGGAACTTAATTAAAGAAATTTGAAATTAAAGACCAAAATGAAAAGGGGGTAAATAGATGGGCTATAATTAAAATCGAATTAGGGATCCAATTGATTAGGAACTTAATTAAAGAAATTTGAAATTAAAGACCAAAATGAAAAGGGGGTAAATAGATGGGCTATAATTAAAATCGAATTAGGGATCCAATTGAAAAAATTAAAAGTTTATGCTTCAATTGAGGATCAAATTATATAACTTCAAAATCAAGGACCAAAGAGAAAAAAAGCGTCCAACTTCAAGGCCGTTGTTTGATTTTTGATAGGGATGCAATTGCATTGATTTTTTAAATCAAAATTGCAATTTAGAGCTTGATTGAACAAATCACAAATTGAGGACTGATTTGTTTTTTAAAATAAGTTTGGCACCTTTTTTCATTTAAATGAAATGACACATTTTGACCAAAACGATGCCGTTTCATGCACTTTTCATAAAAAAACCCTGAAATGGTGTCGTTTTGAACTGCATAATATGTCACCTTCTTTCCCTGGATGTGTAGAAAACATGAGAAGAAGATTTTATTTTCTTCTTTGTTTCTCACTTACTTCCCTTCCCTTGATGACTTTAAAAAGATACCGATACAATCTACATCTTTGTTTCTCACTTACTTCCCTTCCCTCGATGACTTTAAAAAGATGCCGATACAATCTATATTTTCCACGTGTTGAAACGGCGGTGGAGGGGCAGCAACACAATGACTGTCCTAGCCACATCCTTCTCCTGTTTTTACCCATAAAAACAAGGGAAAGGGATAAAAAAGAGAGACCAAGGATCGAGAGAAGACAAGAGAAGAGAGGGAGCATAACAGAAGACCCGAAAAGGAAAAAAAAATAAGGAGAAAGAAAGAAAGAAAAAAAAGGAGCTGCCACCAACACCGTCGTCACCTCTGCCATTGCAAGCACCGTCATGAGTTGCCACAACAACCACCATAACCATTGCAAGTCAGTTCCCCTGCTTTTTTCTTCCTTGTTATCCTTCTTTACCCCGTATACCTTGTATTCATTTTGCATGTAGAACGTAAGCTTATTTTGCAGCAAAACAAAAATAATTAGCTAGTTACTGTGTTACGCACAATAACCAGCCAATTATAGTATATGGGGCCAGCTTTGGCCCATTTTGTTTTGGGCCAGCATGTAACATCCTACCTCTATACCAGGATAAAAGCAACAATCTCATGTCAACTGAAAAACAGAATAATTTTATATATATATATTCATAATTTTTGTATTATCATCTACTGAAATTTCAATAAAATTCTCCTATACCGAAAGGTCTCATATTGACAACATGTAACCTGTTTACATTTCTAATAACTCATATCTTATAACTCAATCCTAACCCAATCATTCTGGATTTTAATTTCACAAAGATTATCACACCTATCAACCACAATATTTATGATATACATTATGGAACAAAATATTATTGTGGATGAATAAAAATACAAACACATAGACATTGAATATGGTTATATGAACTACAAAGTTAAGTTCATTCATACAAGTTTAAATATTAGTTATACAATTTCAGTTTTACAAACATTTTCATGTTTATCAAAGATAAGAGTATACTCCCTAAAATCTAGATTACAAGAAGCGAAACATAAGCTAGGATCTATTATTGTCGTGTATGTGATGATTCTAAAACAAAATACATATTATTAAAATATGAATATCATAATAAATATAACAACACGAATATCTAACAATTTTAAAAAGGTAACATGCATTCTTATTTTGTTCACTTATCCCTTTTTGTTTTTTATTAAAATCTCTTTCTTATTCAACTATTAATAATCGTTTTTCTTTCATCATCAACCTCCATTCCAAACTTTATAAGATCAAACATGATTATTTTTATGTAATATATTATTAATATCAATTTCACTAGTATCATGTAATTATTTTATTTTATTTTAGTATTAGGAAATATCAATTTAAAAATAAAATTTTAAATATTTTACAAAATATTTGAACACCCCGGCTCAAAGAAACCCTTAAATTAACTAGAGGAAACTAGAAAGGGGCCACGCAGGTGATATTGATGTGACACAGCAAATTTAATGCATAAGAAGGTGTAAGTTTCATGCTTCCACTCACTCGGGCAGCTACATTAGCGGCAATAAAAAATCAATTCGCTGCTTCCTGAACAGTTCCAAAGCCTGCAGAAGATAACCATTAATCAGTCTGAGAGGCAACTTAAAATCTAAAAACACCAAGCTAGGCACTGTACCATCCCCAGAGTTATAACATAATGGCAGTTACTTGTTTATCTGGTTCGGAATCCGAGGAACTAGCGTCGTCTGTGTGGTTAGTTATAGGAGTGGAGAGTTGTTAGCGAGCTCAGGAGATTTTCTCAAGTGGTGCTTCGACGAGCGTGTTCTTCGGCGACGGATTAGGAGTAGGAAGCAAAATCCCATGGCGACTGCTTCTGCCGCTGATTTAAAGGCTTCTCTCCTCCTCCTCCTTCTTTCGTCTTTTATGCTTCCTTCTCTTCCTCTTCTTGCCCTTCTGCTTCTGATAGTTCAACTTCTTCTTCTCTGGGAGGCTCAACGATGAAGCTTGGAGCCATGAGTTGTAGTGAGACGATGCAGGGAGGTTTGTGTTGGCTGCTTTGAAAATTTGTTCAGGGAGGCAAGAGAGCTTTGGCAGGATTTCCAGCCTTCTCTCGACGGTGTCGTCTCTCTTGCGTGGACAGTCTATGGAGGCCCAAATAGAAGATGACGGGCGTTTTGAAGTGGGTTAAGCATTGTTATTGTAACTATCAGATAAGGAGGAGCTTATGCACGGGTCGATGTTACTATTAAGGGGCCCATTTAAGATTTTCTTGGACTAAGAGGCCCATGTTACCCTTCTCGGGTGAGCCCAGATGTATAGGACATTTAGAATGAGATTTCGTGCCTTCTCTCCGGAATAAGATTATGCTTGCTTTTTTCAAAACCAGAAATAGTTTAGGTTGAGATCGTTTTTGCTTTGCAAATCCTTTGGACGATAACAGCGAGGTTTGAGGTCACTCGTTCTCTGAATAAATCAACTAATTGTATGACGAGGCTTGAAGCAAACCTTATTAGTTTTGAGCTTTTTGATGCCAGGTAATTGAGTTGTTTGTACGAGGAAGAGAGATGTTGTTGGGAACTAGCGAAACATCTTAAAAGTGCTTGTGTTATTTACGAATTACGATAGCATTTGCTTACTGTAGCGGGATCCAAGAGATGGAGATACCGAGAACAAAGAGAACACACTCTTCTTTTTTGAACAACAAATAAATTCACTGCAAAATTATCTTAAAATAAATTTATTTTAAAAAATATCTTATTACCTATAAGATTTTAAATGTGATTGGCATATTATTCATGCTACA